AGAGGAAAGGCACCAGGGCTGTGGGAAATGACCACTTCTGTGATACAACAAAAAGAGCCTCCCAAAGACTAACCCCCCATATAAAAAGGGTTCTTGGAAGGGGCTCTTTGAAGGGCTCTGAGAACAATTCTGGTGAGTGGGGCGCCATCGTGGTTCTAGGCTGCGTGTGCCTATGTTGTCTTGTTGGGGGCAAGCGTCAAGAGAAGCCAAAGAGAAGATTGCCGTGCGTTTGGAGGGATCCAGCACAACTCACATGAAGCTGGCATGAAACTGGCAACTCCTCTTGGCTCACCTGGGGTCTTGAAGCAAAAATCGATGGGCCATGAAGCTGACAGAAGAACTCTTCGGGATGGCAGCTCCCCAAGTTCCATGCTGGAGACGTCAGTGGGGCGTGTTTGAGTAAATGCCAGGGGCATGGCATGACAGAGGTCCTCGCCTTTCAGATCAACCTGCAACTCCCGGAAAAGTACGAACTTCGGATGTTTTTGTTTTGCTTTTGTTTTTATTTATTTTTAAGAAGGGCCTTGGCACCCCTATATTTGGTTCCTCCCGCTTAGGTTTGGCAAAGGCGGTTGGAATCAGCTCCTTCGGCCCTAGGTTCCCTTTTGGAAGACCAACAGAGGCCAGTGCGGCGGCACCGGCGTAACTAGAACCAAACCGAAACCCGTGGAACACACCTGCGTTTTGGCCAGGCACAAGAAGGACACCTACCATTCGCTGCGATGTCCCGAACCAGTAAGGGATCCGTTTCGCTCGTTTGCCTCCGGATGAGTGAGCTCGGCCAGGCAGACCCACAGGGTTCCGGCAGGATACATCCACAAAGATCCCTGCAGGGACCCTGACACTATGCTTGGCCAAAACATGGGGTACAAAGAAAACAATATGTGTCCATGTTTCCTATTTAGAAAGCCTATACAAATGTTCTTGGTATGCGTCTGGCCCGCTTCCAGGACCTGTTTGCAGCCGAAAGGGCGATCCAGCGCGTCCGTGGGTAGCGCTGGCAGGCACTCCTGCGGGGAGCAGGCCAGGAAAAGTTGCAACTTGTTGGGCCCTCACTCAAGTGATGTTGACCATCCTCCTACAAGAGGCCCAACAATGGGTCTGAATATGATCTTGTTGGAGGCCGAAATGGGATTTCAAGATGGCAAGAACAGGAATCCTATCTCGATGTTGACTATTTGTTGCGGGCCCCACCCAGCCAAACAAGGAATTTCGAGCGGCCGAACTGCGCTCAAGTGGGAAAGAGGAATTGTGTGCGTGTGTCTGTGTTGCAAAATGGGCCGCTCTTGTGGTGTTCCCGTTGTAACACTAAACCCCCCCCCCAAACCCCAGAGAGAAGCGGCAGTGTCGTGCCCCTCCGGCGGCATTCTCCCTGGCACCCTTCCGAGATCCCCCCCCCCACCTCCACCCGCGCCAGGATGGCCTGCGAGGCCCGCCGGGTGCGCAGCACCTGGACCAAAAAATGGCGACCTCCGCACCCAGCTCTGCTCAGGACTTGGTAAGCTGTAACATGTGTGGCCCTTGCACTGGCACAGCCGCGCATCTCTCTCTTGTGTTTTTTTTCTTTTTGAAAGGGATGTGCAGGTGGACACAAGCTGGTGGGTGAACGACGGGGGCTTGGGCTATTCTCAAACGGTATCTTGGAGCTCGGATTAATGCTGGGAAGAAGGTAGAGGGCGCGATTCCTTTTCTGCGGACAAGTCCAGCGGCTGGCACTTGTCGAAACTGAGGGGATCGTGCCATTTACTTCCACCAACTGTAAATAGGGGGTCTGGAAATATCAACACACATGCCCGTCCCCTTTTAGTCCTTTTTGCAAGCTAAAGCTGCTGAGTTCCCTAAACCCAGGCACCTCATGGCCCTCCGTATCCAACCCAATGAACGCACAGCATGTGTGTGTCTCAAAACTCGCCTTTGGTCCCTTCAAGCGGGCCAAGAAAGGGGTACCCACAAAACCGACAGACCGATACATCCGTCGACTTCCACTCCGCGAAAAGGCTCGGCTTGCTTTGTAGAATGTCCGGCCACGTAGCAAAGCAGACAAGCCCACGTGCTGCATTCAGTGCTGGTGGATGATGATGGCGTTCAGTAGGTTTCGCCACACGGCGAAGAAAAGGACGGGGTTACATACCTGGGCCGTCCTTCAGCTTCCGATTGCCGTCCCGTGCGGGTACAAAACCCATGTCACACCAATGTCACACCGGTTGGGGTGAAATCCTATCAAGACTGGGATAGAGCACCTACCAACTGGTGCAGGATTTTGCCCATCCACTATATTGCGAGTTCTTTTGGCATAGCCACGACCGGCCTCAAAAAGACCCCTGCGTCGCCTGAACCCAACAAGGTGCGCGGCTCATCTCCTCGCATCCCTTTGAAGCTATCCCATAAAACCAACCAACCGTGTTGATTTCAAAAGCACCCCCCCCTCCAACATCCCCCTCCCCCTCCCAAAAAAAAAACCGAATAACAACTCAGTGACCCGACCAACAGGAACTCCTCCCCCAAAGAAAAGAAATACGAACCGCCGCCCTGGAGTCGGGGTCCGGTTTCTCCGGCCTCCCGTGGCGCGGTGTAGCCCAGGCACTGCACCAGGGTGTCCTGGCGATCAACCCGTGGGGTCTCCTCCGAAACTATTTGGGTGGGAAATGCTTTTTAGGGCACCCACCCACCCCCAAAAAAAATAGAAAAAGGAAAGGGGTGGGTTTGCGTGGGTTTGCTGCTTGTCTCCCGATTTAGCCTTTAATTCCACAAGGTGTCTCAAAATGAGGGACCGTCTCCTCCAGGTCTTTAATTTCCTTTGTCCCTCTCAAACCATCCGTGAGACAAACCCACTTTTATGGCGTGGGGTCTCCAACAACCTGTGGTCTCCACATAGCTTCGGGGGAGTTCTCCGCTGGCAGTCGCAGAAAAAACGGGTCTTCAAACGATGTTATTTTGGGCAGACTAAATCTGAAACAGAATCTGAAAAATAGTTTTCTGTGCACCTTTTTTTTGTGGGCCGCAGACTGGGCACTTGTTCCTGCAGCCTTGCAACCAATGAAGGTGGGATTCTGCAGATGCCCTGCAGAGACTAAGCGGTTTTTGACCTCCACTTTCTCCTGTGGCGTATAGGCAAGGTCTGGGTCCACTACACCCGCCATAGCCCACGGCCGGCCACCATCCTCCCACCCCTGGCAACCCACGGGCTGGACGACCCTTCTGCGCGATGACTTGAGCGGACCCGGTATCTGAGGATCAATCCGCAGAAACTTGATGCTCCATACCAGCCCCTTCTTGGAACAGGATATCACCAACCTTGTGTCTACCAGAAAAAAAGACGGGGCCAGGACAAAAACAAAAAACAACCAACGTCAATCAAACGTACATATTATATCTATGTAGATGTATGTGTGTGTGCATGTGTATATACATATGCGCATAGATACATGTACATTTACACGGGCAAAAGATGTGTCAACCACCACGACTGTTGATTCCAGGTCCTCCAGGAGTGCGGCAAGCTCACCCTCACCCAGCTCCATGGCTGGGAGCGATCCCGCCCGGAAGCGAAAGCCGGAGCACCCGGAAGATGTCTTGGGCTTTTTGGCTTTTTGCATTGCCTCAAAATGCTTTGGACAAAGGCCTTCCCACCAAGTGAGGGATATTGTGGAGGGGACCTTGCTTTTGGGTGCTTCCAGGTCAAGGGAGACTTCCAGGTCAAGGGAGACTTCCAGGTCAAGGGAGACTTCCAGGTCAAGGGAGAAGACGGCGTGGTTGGCTTTTCAAAGAAAAGCCAAAAGAAAATCAACCCCAACGCGCAAAAGCCAGAAAATGTATGTTTTGGCCCCCTTTTACAGGAAAATGCCACAAGGAATCTGGCGTCGTTGGGTGCTCTTTGGAACTTGGCCCGCTCCTGCGCCTCGCTTGTGGCTTGACCCCCAAAAAAAGAGTGCAGTCTGAATCCCAAGCTGCCACTCCCATTTTCGCCACTCCGCGCCTGGTCATGTCCTTTTCGATATGATTTTACCCAAAAAGAGTCTTTTGGCATCCTTTTGGAGACATGGGTCCCATTGGTGAACAATGAGAACCTGAAACTAGCGGAATCCACCTATTTCGAGCCAAGCTGACTCAAAAGAAGGCCAGGGTCCCTAATTTCATGGCACATCCTTTCCGCAGCGCAGGCATTCCATTCTCAAAGGTTTCAAAGAGCCTCGCGGCTGCGGCAAGGGGACACTCCACAATGGCAATGAGGGCCCTCCCTCACTTGCCCACCGAGGAAAACCATGGAAGTAAAACAAGGCGGGTGACAACTTCTTGCTCCCGGGTGTGGCATTCGTTCGCCGGGATCTCAGCAAATTTCCACCAAACCCGCGTTAGAGCCAACCCCAAATTTACGCTCACGGAGGCCCGTGCGCAGTGCACGAGTCTCCTGCTTTGACGTGCGTCCGGAGGAAAAAGGGGACCCCTACAGATCTCATGGAAGAGGTATCACCGTTGGCCACGAGGAGAAACGAACATACAACAATGGCCATGACTGATAAATATGTCTTTTTTGGTTGCGGCGGCCTCCAGATCGCTCGTTTCCATGTTTGTTTTTAGGACATGTCCAGTCTCGCTGTCTTTTGTGCAGGGGGGTCCCCAACCAACAACCACCATATTGTTCAAACACTAATTTCATGCTTTCCGTGGAGGGAACTCACCATGTTGCGTATCCACACAACAGGCGAAATCAAAAAGGCCGCCCCACATCAGGTGTCGGTTTTGAAAATTCCCACCCACAAAGCCCAAAAGTGGGGCTTACAACAAACCTATGTTACCGGGTTGACATGTCCCGCCGAAGCCTTGGACCATTCAATTTCGACTCTCAAATCCTGATAAGGAAATTACATAAATCCTGCAAATGCTTCGGAGCCCGTTCTTGGCTTGGGTCCAAAAGGACAAGGTGTCTAGTTCAGCTTCACATTTAGGCCGTTAAGATGCAGAACATCCCCGGCGCCCCCGTTCTCTTGCGGTCAAGGGGCCCCGTACGCGCGCGGAACCGCTGGCTGGGCACGGAAGAGGCCGGCCACTTTGTCATACCTCGCCAGATGGGTTTGAACATAGGGAAAGCCAACCACTTGGTGCTTTCCGTTCGGTTTCCCTTCCAAAACCACCCTAGGAAGGGCGACCTAAAAAACGACACCCATGTGAACGTGTGGTTTCTTTTCAGGGTACCCTTGTTTTGTTGGGTTCAGAATGGGGACCCAAGGGAAACCACTCAACTTGGGGGGTTCCCTCTTGACACATAACATACAGTGGGTACCACAAAAAGCCTGTGACTTGCGGCGACTGACAGGCTCAACATCTTCCCCCACTTGCAATGTTTGGGTATCGTTTTGAGGGTACCCCATGTTTGGTGCCTTTTAAAGGGAAACTATAAGGGAAACCAGAGTCCATGAAGAAAAGGCATCAACGTTCCCCATCAAAATTCATTCGCAGACTGCACGAGAAACAGGAAACTCAGACGCCTTTGTGATACCTTCAGCTAGTGGGTTTTCCCTAATTAAGTGACGATCATTGAGGAATACGTTCGGATGTGCTGTTTGAGAGAACCTCAAGGCTGCTGAAAAGGGGAAACCAAAAGAGAAGGATCCCGGTTCTGGAAAGCCAAATCTTTTAACCGCGTGGTTGTCCATTTTGGCATGTTGAGCCGAGGGTAGGTGGGGCGATCAAAACAAGTTGAACCTGGGGGCAACCCATTTTAGAGGGAAACTTCACCGCCAAAGTCAACGTTCCCCGCCCCCCCCATTCATCCATCAGGTCCATTCATCCCGGGTCAACATTACACCAACAAGTGCGTAGGAGCCTCTGAATCTGGCAAGTGAAGCAGAAGCAACCTACTGGGTTAAAATGGAGAGCCCAAGCCTGCCAGCCCTCCAAACACACCCTTCAACCCCAAAGCCCTCCATGATTTGGCCAACAAAAAAAAACTTGGTCGGCCAAGGGAGTCACGGTGCCAACTGAACCAGCCATGTTCCTGAGGGTTTCGATCGCCAAGCTCCAACCAACCCCCAGCACCAAGCCGGGGCCCAGGCTCCTCACAGCCCGACTGCACCTCGAACAAGATCTGATCGTCCATGCCCTTCCTCGCGGAAAACCAAAGTTGCCCGGTGAAATTTAGTGGTGACCGGGGCTACTTGGGATGTTCGATCTTCCTGGTGTCTTGGCTCCCTCAAAGCACTTGGCCGAAAAAGGACACTTGAACAAATCAAAAAGAACCAACCGCAAATTGGGTAATCCGTATTTGATAGTTTGGATTGGCGGCTTGGGGATTTGAACCCGCGCTGTTGGAAGCGAAACGGGAAGGCAGCCTCTCAACCAGATATTCCAACCCATTAACTTAAGGGGAAGCTGAACCAAAATAATGTTGACCCAGGATCAATAAACCCGTCCCTTTACTAGGGGGGGGTGTTCCCTCCAAAAGCGAATCCCCACTAAAAGGAATTGGACACCCCCTATTAATCCACCGGGGTTAACATTGGAGAAACACGACTGCTTTTAACCAAAACGTCCCCCAAAAGCTCGCCAAGCCAAGCTTCTGCTCTTCGCTCTCCCAGAGCCGCCGCAGGCCAGGGGTGTAGCCCAGCCAGTCCTCGCGCAATCCGCCAAATCGGCGGATGGCAGAAAAAAAACGCGGGGACCTAGAAAACGAACATGGAACAACCCAAGACGGTGTCTAGAACGTAAGTGCTGCCGGGGCAGGCCATGTTGCAACAAGCTGAGGTCGCCAAGCTTGCACTGAACCAAACGCATCAGTGTGACAGGCTCTGTGATTCTGGGCGTTGTTTGCCTTTGGCTGACAAAATGCCGAAACTCGTGGTTTGACTGCTGGGCTGCTGCCGTGGTTTGGACTGGTTGACGTAGAAACTGTTTTTTGCGCAAGTATGCGTGCATGCCGGTATGTGCGGCAATTACAGATGCCACTATATCACAGGAAGTTCGAAAATCTGAAAATCCCAACTGCGAGCTTTGGGAGGTGCACGAGACTCTTCGGGACCCTGGGCCATGAGCCACTACACTTGCGACATTTGAACATCGCAATGTCGAAAGGCCGCTTTGCACTGGGCAACCAAATGGAATTGCGAAACCTTGGCATAAGTTTAATTTCGGGACCCTTGGATATTTCGGTTGGGATTCATATCCCTGAGGCGGTCACCCCATGTCGAGTCCACGTTGCAATCCCAACTCCAAACCCAAACAAAACCAAACACTACCCAAAAGAAGACGGCCGCAACATGCTGTGCGTGTGAGCGTCTGTTAAAATGTGTTAGTAAAACAGGGTACCCCCAAATGGCCGATGTGCCTTTGGCTTCCCTTCAAATCAACCAAACACAAAACCCCCGAAAGCCCCAAAGCCCCAAAGACCCCCAAAGCCCCGCGCCTCGGCTTCCAGACGCTCCTGGCAAGGCTCAACCCATTTAAGCGAAATCCCTCGCTGAGTAGCACAAAACCCCTACACCCTCCCAAGACCGAACCGTCAGGCAACATTTCAGGTACCTCCACCCCCCCGGAGGGCTCGCCACGACAGGGCCAGACACAGGTTCAGCAACCTTCCAAAGACGCAGTTAAGCATGGTTAAACTAGGTGGTTGGTGGAAAGGCCCCGCTTTCTGCTTTAGCTCATCTCCCCCGGATTCGCCCGGATTCGCCATGGCCCACCCCCACCACCACCCCCCCCACCCCCACCCCCCACTGCCACCCCCCACTCCTTGGTGAGCATGGCGCGCCAGGAGCGCATCATCTGCAGCTCCGGGCACTCCACACTCAGCGCCGCGTCCACCAGGCGCGGCAGGGTGTCCCAGAGCTTCAGCGACCTCAACTTCCGGTGGACGGCTTGGAAGCACCCCGCTTGGGGGGTTTAAGAATAAACCGGATCCGGGAAGCTGCCGGAAAGAAGGAAGGAAAAGAGATTTACATGGAAGGATCCCTGAAGTTGATCAGATGTTGAGTTCCTGGGCTTGCAGGTCTTAATCACGTGCCCAAAAGCTCATGGAACCTTCTAGGGGTTGCCCCGGTGAAACAAAGGGGGCGCCCCCCCTCCAAGAAAGTGTCTACACTATTCGGGGAGCTTTGCGTTTTGACCGATTCCCCTGCTTCCAACAGAGCCAGAACCCCGCAACACGGAACTTCAGCTTTTTTCGCCGGCCTTTAGTTTGGCATCTGGCCATGGTCAAAAGCCCGTACCCCCCAGTGCCACTCAAATAACTAAAATGGGTGGTGCACCTACCCCAAAATGGTACCATCGGTTTTGACCCACAGCCATCTCCAAAAAATTGCGGAGGGCGTGGTTTTTCGTTTGGCTTCGCTTGTTCAGACTCCGTCCCACCGATTGGCGCCAAGGGCGCTCCATGTTGTGCTTGTCCCCCTGCCGGGTGTAGCCCCGGCCCAGGAGTCCGCTGTTGGCGGTGTAGTAGAGGTAGCACTTGTTGGGTCCGCCTCTAACCGCTGGGTGGCCAGGGGTTCGGGGCCCATGTAGTGGACCCCAATACACATTATGAGGCACGAGCCATTGGGATTGGGGGGGTGTGGGGCCCCAAGCTTTGTCACTGCCTTGGCAAACGCAAAAAAGCGCCGGGAGCCAAGCCCTGGTTGATGACAAGGTGGGAAGAAAGCAATGAGGGTGCAACGCAGTTTTGTGTTTATCTGGATTCCCAGAGGGGTGCGCTCATCATTGATTCACTTGAAGCCTACTATCCTCACCCAATCTACCTGGACCTTTCAACCCCACCACATGGGGACTTGTTGGGCCCCTTTCAGTTTGGCTTAAAGGGAAACTGGAAGGACACCACATTTTTTGACAATTCCCCTTCACAGGGGGTCCCCTCTCCCGATCCTGACCCATTTGGGACACCAGGAGGGAGCCACTACCACCGGCGTAAGGATTCTGGATTGGGTTTGAACCAGTTCCCAAACCTCCAGTGGCCAGGGCACAAGTCCTCACAAAATTAAAATCCAACAAAATAGCGAATTCAAACCCCCAACAACATAAGCCCTTGTGACATTCAACCCCAACCCCGGCCCGGCGTCGCTCCGAATCACTACCGAGCCCAAAGATAAACCAGCTGTTGGGAGGCGGCACAAAAAGACCACTCCCAAGAAGGATGCCCATGAACAAATCCCCCTGAAGGCCGTCTAGGCGTTTCGCAGGTGGGCGTTTTCTCCCCCCAAATTCCACCGATATCGGCGCCTGAGCGGATCAACGCCTCAAGGTCCTCTCGCTTGAACTGGTAGTACTCGTCGTTGGAGCCATGCGCCAGGACCACCACACGATCTACAGCAGGAGATGCATCCCCAACAGGTACGGCCAAAATCGGTGGGCACCACTTGGCTTCCATGTGCTAGTTTAATATCTGCAAAATGTACCAATGGCCAAACCTGAGAAGTCCCCAGAAATGCAAGACCTACATCATGGTGTCTCAGCACATTTTACCCCCAGATCAATGAACCGCCATAAAATAGACAGACCAACAGGTACGGTTGGCACACGAGAGATGGACCAAGATCGGGGTTCCATGTGCTATCCGGTTCTTACTCAGAACTGGAAGTCACAAGGCTCCCCCCCATTTCATATTTCCAATTTGGCCACAAGAGACATCGGGTAAATGGTACAAAAACGGACCCGCATAGCGGATGCGGACTGGGACGCCTCCTGGATAAGAAAGGGTATATGCGGGGCAGAGGCATAGGGTATACAGTTGGAAGCCAAACATCAGCGATTTACTGCCCAAGTTACCACCTCCAAGTGGCAAATCGCAGGGAGACACCCCCAGTGGTTGACTCTGATCTGCACTCTGTTGGGGCTTAACTTTAACGGAACACCAAACGAAACGGGTGTCCACCATTCCTTTGGGTCCCGAATAAACGTCACCAAAACGTGGCCCTTCGCACGACGGAGCAGCTCTCAGGGGTGGCCCTCTCCCAGTCCGAGGCACCCTTGGGCAGCGCTCCCAAGGTGGGATGCCTCCGGGGGGCTGGGGGTGGAAGGCCTGCTCCCCTTTCCCTAAAAGGGGTATATGCTCCTTATGAATTGGGCTGGAAACCGGGGAAGCAAGGGGTTGTGAGCGAGGGGTATGTACTTCCACCCTTAGCATGGTCAAAACTCCGTTTCTTGGGCCTATATGGCCTATGGGATCTGGTTCCGATACGAAATCATTGTTTACGAGCCGCTTGGCTAAATTTGTTTGGATTATGTTGGTATATGTATGGCAAACATAATGATTTTATTTTTTATAGAGATTAATTTTCCGAAATTGCGTTGATTAGAATTGACGCCGTGACCAAATGGCAGAAAACCTGATTTCCAAGTCCATGAAGTGTGGGATAAAAAGTCCCCGCCCGACCGCTCGTCAAGAGAGCCCAAACGTGCACCGCGATTTTTCTACAAGTTCCAAAGCTCCAAACAGGCACGTGCGCGGATTGAACCATCCCACGGGAAAACGTTTTCTTGACACGAAGATTCTAACAGCCCTTCTTAACAGCAAAAAAACATGCCAACGCAACTGGCGCCCCCAAGGCTCCTTTGGGGCTGCTGGTTTTTTAGGCCCAAACAGCTGAATTCGGGCTTTGGGAAGAACATTTGCTTGACAGCTGGCACTTCCCAAATAGTCCCCCACAAAGTGCCGCAGCGCGAGATAGGCGCATGCAAAAAACAGCGGGTGACGATCACATGCAAACTCACTGGCCAATCCCACGAACTAACCACCAAACAAAACCAGTCACCCACCCATGCGGTCTTGCTCACTGCCCAGCTGGCCAAGTGATTCACAGTTCACCGAGTTATGCTTGGCCACTGAGACGACGCCAAATTCACAACTAAAAAAGAAAACCAAGCCACAACCAAAAAAAGAGACAAGCGCCAATAAAAAAGCAGACCTGCCCCGACTAACTCAGGAAGGCTGTTAATTGTCATGTCATGTCACAACTCTAAATTTTTGCAAACCCTCACAACATATAGATTCCCTTCATGCTGTGTCAAAGCGAAACCAACGGGCCAGCGATGTTTTAGAGCACTGATCCTGCGTCACTCCCGTCGCAGTTTGCAGAAAATGCTAGCGGCTGCTCTCCCAGGCAGGAACAGAAGCACAAAATCACCGCACGTCCCGGCCTTGGCCTTCATGTCACCGGCCTGTGCTCGAACGTATCCAGCCAGTTCAGAGCCTGTCACACAAAGCTACGCCAATAGCGCCACAGCTTTCGGCCGAGGTGTGCCTTGAAAAGCAGAGTTGGCGCAATGCCGCAAAGCCGTGAGGGCGTACAAGTATCTGCGCCTTTCGTCGCCCCCGCTTTCGTGCGAGGTCGCAGAGTTGGCAAAGCCATGAGTGCATACAAGTACCTGTGCCTTTCGTCGCCCCAGCTCTCGGCCGAGGTGTGCACTGCCGCAAAGCCGTGAGTGCTTACAAGTACCAGTGCCTGCAAACTCTGAGGGCTTGCTGCGGTCCGCCTACCAAACAAGCTTCAATAGCTTCACACTGACACCAGCTCTGGCGCACCTGCTTGGCGTCTCGCAATCTTTGTCGCAGGTCCTGTGAGACGTGGGCGAAACCAGGGTTGCACAAGCACGGAGCGCTCCTGCTTCTTGCCTCCATTTTTCAAGCCGAGCTCTGCCAGCTTCTTTTTGAGCTGTTTCACTGTCATGGTTTCCACCTGGCCGTCTCTATTCGATATAAATCCTACCACCCGCCATCATGCAGCAGTCGCCAAGCCTCCATCCGCGCGCCATCTTCCTCTGAGTGCAGGCTCTCACTGGCCTCATCCAATGCAGAAGCAGCAACCACCAAAACTGGAAGTCAGCTGGCCTCATCTTGTGCCTCCTCCTCCTCCTCTGCCTTGCACAACCGCGGCCCAGAAGGCTGCCAAGCACAAAACATGGCTCAGCAGTCGTGTGTCCTTGGGCCACAAGGTGCTGCACACCTCCCACCCTGCGCAAACATCACTGTCAACGCCCCTTCGGCTGCATGGAGCTCAAACAGGGCCCCTCGACTCATGCGGCGCTCACTTCCAAGAGAAGCTAGCACAACCTTGCATACTTCCTGGAAAGCGGTTGGTAGGTCCTTCGTGTTGAGTGCGTACAAGCGCCACTTTGCCGCTCTGCGTCTCTTTGCGCCAAGCGAGCCCCGAGCTGGAGCTCTCTGAGACCATTGCGTGAATTGCGTGACGCAATGCTCTGCTGCCTCTGCTGCCTTGCGGTCCTCTGTCCGAAAACTGTGAACGATCGCGCTTAGCATCACCACCACATGAGACATGCGCTTCAACTTGTAAGTAGCATCAATGGTGACGGCCCACGCAGGGTTAGCCACCGGCTCTGGCAGGAGGGCCTGGACTTGGTTGAAGAAGGTGGGTAGGACAAAGAACCAAGAGACTTGTGGCTTAATCTGGCATTCTGATATCTCAATGTGCCAAAAACCACGTCCGTTTGGCCACCTCCCTCCCCCACACCTGTCCTGCTCATGTGCTCATATTCCCGACTCCCCCCCAATTCCCCGACCGAAACGGACGTGGTTTTCGGCATTTTGACATCTCAAAGTGCCAAAAACCACGTCCGTTTGGCCACCTCCCTCTCCCACACCTATTCCCCCCGGCCAAAACGGACGTGGTTTTCGGCAGTTTGACATCTCAATGCGCACCCCACACCAGTCCTGCTCATGTGCTCATATTCCCGACTTCCTCCCCCGATTCCCCGACCGAAACAGACGTGGTTTTCGGCATTTTGACATCTCAACGTTGCAAAAAAAACACGTCCGTTTGGCCACCTTCCGAGGGGTGTGTGTGTGTGTGGACAGCGATAAAGCCACAGAAAAAAGAGAGAGAGAGAGAGAGAGAGAGAGAGAGAGAGAGAGAGAGAGAGAGAGAGAGAGAGAGAGAGAGAGAGAGAGAGAGAGAGAGAGAGAGAGAGAGAGACAGAGAGAGAGAGAGAGAGAGAGAGAGAGAGAGAGAGAGAGAGAGAGAGAGAGAGAGAGAGAGAGAGAGAGAGAGAGAGAGAGAGCCAGCGAGCCAGCGAGCCAGCGAGCGAGCGAGGGAGGGATTTGGACCCCCAATGAGCGGACACCTTTGAACTAGCATTTCAAAATACGAATTGGGGCCCCTGATGGCATGTCTAAATACGGATTGGGACCCCCAATCACATGTCTAAATAAGGATTGGGACCCCCAATGGCAGGTCTAGATGAGGATGGGATCCTCAATGGTAAGGATTGGGACCCCCAAATGGCATGTATAAGGATTGGGACCATGTCTAAATAAGGATTAGGACCATGTCTAAAAAAGGATTGGGACCCCCGATGGCATCCCCAATGGCATGTCCAAATAAGGATTGGGACCCCCGATGGCATCCCCAATGGCATGTGTAAAAACAATTAAGGATTGGGACCCCCGATGGCATCCCCAATGGCATGCCCAAATAAGGATTGGGACCCCCGATGGCATCCCAATGGCATGTCCAAATAAGGATTGGGACCCCCTGATGGCATCCCCAATGGCATGTCCAAATAAGGATTGGCACCCCCGATGGCATCCCCAATGGCATGTCCAAATAAGGATTGGGACGCCCTTATAAATCACTTTAAGAGTTAGCAGCGGGTTTATAAGGGTTACAAAATGTGGTTTAGGAGGTGGCTTAGGCAAGGGTTTGGCTAAAGTTTAGCTAAACCAGCTAAGCCTGTTAAGGTTTTTCCTTCAAATTCCAGCACCTGTGTGCAATTGGTGCAACAATGCGTTTTCCTGCCGCAAAGCGAGACATCAAGTGAAGCCGCAGCGGGCAGTCCGCGCGGCTCATCTTTTTTCTCCTTTCTCTTTTGCGGTTCCACAGCTTTGTTTTGACATTGTTTGTTAGATTCATATTTTTCAGATTTTTCAGAATCTGAATTTTCAGATTTGATATGAGATTCAGTTTTTTAGATTTTTTCAGAATCTGAATTTTGCAGATTTTTTCAGATTCAGATTTTTCAGATTTTGCCAGAATCTTAAAACATCTGAAAAATCTGAAAAATCTGAAAAATCTGAAAAATCTGAAAAATCATGAATCTGAAAATTTAAGTAAAGAAAGTGATGAAGATTCAAATTTTCAGAATCTGCAAAGTATCTGAAAAATCTGATATCAAATCTGAGCACTTGCGTCCGCAACATCATACTCGGCCGCGGCTTGCGCGGGCGCCGCGCGGGCTCACGCCCGCGGCGGCATGCGCAGGGGCGAGAAAACCGAAAGGTAAATGATCCGGCTTCCCTTTTGCACGCTGCATGACTGTGCTCGAAAAAAGCTAAGTCTGCTAAGGGTGTTAGCCCCGAAAACAGATCCCAAAAGCTAACCCCGCTAAACCTTATAAGGGTTGCGACCATGTTTGCTGAGTGTTTGGCTTGGGGTTTGCAACGGGAGTTATAAAGCGTGTCATATCTCCTATAATCCTTAAATAGATTCTGGTAAACCTTAGAAACGACCTATAAACCTTCTATATGTTTGACCAACTGATCTCGTTTGCCAAACTTTGCCCAGATACTAAACGTTTATAACCTGCTGGTTAACATTAGCCAGCCGGCTAAGAATGGCATGTCCAAACAAGGATTGGGACCCCCGATGGCATCCTCAATGGCATGTCCAAATAAGGACTGGGACCCCCGATGGCATCCCCAATGGCATGTCCAAATAAGGATTGGGACCCCCGATGGCATCCCCAATGGCACGTGTAACAACAAATAAGGATTGGGACCCCCGATGGCATCCCCAATGGCATGTGTAAAAACAATTAAGGATTGGGACCCCCGATGGCATCCCCAATGGCATGTGTAAAAACAAGTAAGGATTGGGACTCCCGATGGCATCCCCAATGGCATGTGTAAATAAGGATTGGAATTAGTCGCCCCTAGCTTTTTTTTGGTGGATTTTGTGTATTTAAGTGTGGTTTCTTTGTCTTCTGTTGTGGGGAGGCAGCTTCCTTGCAACACAGTGATTCACAGTTCACCGAGTTATGCTTGGCCACTCAACTGATACGAGACCTACGTCCACGCAGCCAGGTAGGCACACACATGTCGACAGCTGTGCATGAACACAACTTGCCATACATGCCGACATATGCCGACAGAACCATCAAATAATATACATACATACATATATATATATATATATGTGTGTATATATACATATCCAGCCCAGCCACCCAGCGTCCCCCCCGGCGCCCCGAAAAACAAAACAAAAAACAAAAAACTCCGCCTGTTGATGATGAGGGCGGGGCCGTCCCACCAGTTGGCGGCCCAGAGCCCGGTGAGGTAGGCGCCCCCCTTGGAGGCGCAGACCACCAGCTGGGGCTGGAACTCATCGATGGCCGCCTTCAGAACCTTTGCCCCGGGGAAGCTGGGGTCCGGAAATCCCTGAAAGAGGCCCCAGGTGTCCTCCTTTACTTTTTTTGCGGGGGAGGGGCAAATCAGTTTCTGTTGTTGTGTTGTCTTGTTGTTTTCCTGATGTTTTACCTATTTTTTTAATTTTTGGGGGCCTTGGGGAAAATCAGACGCTCAAATGATGCTTTTCGTATGTTGGCAATAATCCGTGTAAAGAATCAAACCATATTCATTCAACCTTGACATGCAGAATGGTACCGGAGGAGACCCCAGTCTTCGGATGAGGTAAGTTGAAGGGGGTCACAAACTACCACAAAAAACCTCACCTTGCACGAAGTTGTTTGCCTTCCCTCATTTTGCTATTCGAAGCTACTCAGGAACCCCCTGGCAAATCCTCTCGTGTATGGTTTGGTCCACTGCTCTGTTGGCCTGTTCAAGGACTTGCCTCTCCCCTTGTCGAAGGAAGGCCCGCGGTGCTCATATCTCTCTGAGGCCCCCGGCCGGTAAGAACTGGCCAATGGGGAAGCACGGCGTCTCCGGGTTGGGCAGGTTGAACACCCATCTAATCTGCGATGTTCGTTTTGGCGAACGACAGGCACAGCAACATTGCCCACATGGCCACACATCCGCAGCAAGGAACAGGTGGCGCAATCCTCACTACACCACATCCTGCCAGACCCCCTACTCTGCCACCCACTCCCATGGGGCCTGACTGGGTTCCATGTTGATGGGCGGGTAGGGGCCGTGTTTCCAACGCTGCGATGTGGACTTCCGAAGCCTATCCACTTCCACCGTTGTTGGCACGGGCAATAAAATCGGCAAGCCAAACAATCAGAGCGAAGGGTGGGGGTACCAAAAAATACATTACGTCACCCTGGGAAAGCAAAGTTAGCAACTCAGCCCCAAGCACCCGCCCCATGCGACCTGACAAGAACGAGCACCCCACACCGGCCTGAAAGCCCGCCTGCTCCAGCATCTGACCTACCGAGGTGCCACTCAGCTAGCGGAGAACATGAGCTGCTGGCCCCATCCAGCGCAAGTAGCCGTGCATGCTTGAAGGGAAACAGCAAGGCAACACCTCCTGGATTTTCGTGGGATTTTCGCCGAAGGGGTCCTCACAGAGGGACGACCCCTTTGCCGATTGGCATCTGGCTGGCTGCCGTGCCCCCGAAGGGTTCCAGTGCCCCATGTTTAGTTCTGCCAAGATGGTCCTTCAAGTTTGTAGTGGCTGCACTACAACCCTGATTAAGACACGTAGTAGAACCCCCGGCTCAAATCTCAAATGGCCAGCGCTGTCGGGCAGCGGCTCAAAGCCGAACAACGCCAACCATGCCGGCAGGTTGCAGGTGGGTTGTTCACCAGTCTCGAAAGCATACTGCTCGATTGGGTGGAGTTCAAGAATCCCTTCGAATGCAGACATGGGCGCGCTAAGCAACACAGTAAATATGACATGCGGATAGTGGTGACCCCTTAATTTCAACGAGTATCGATTAAGAAAGTAATATCGCATTGCATCACAAACGCTGTGTTGCATTCTAACTGAACAAGAGACACCTTTATGAAGAGGACGCGGGCGAAGCTACCAGAAAGTCACAACATGCGGAAGAAACATACAGTCTAGCGCATGCCGTGGCATGCTGATTGGGTGACCCTGAACATGCTACACGCGTAAGTCTCCTTGCGGATCCTGTTTGTTGGAACCTCTGGAGCTTGGCACCCCCTGCGGAAAACAACCTGCGACCCCTCAGCGATCCCAAAGAGTTACTGGACAAAGATGCAACCCAGCCAAGATATCCTGAAGCGTCTCCATGGCATGCCGCCCCCCCTCCCCCCGCGGGGTGCACCTTGGAAGGGGTTCAGATCCCGGCCGAAGCCAGGGCCTATGACGAGCACCCGCTGCTGGCTGCGCTCGTAGGCCGGGCCCTCCAAGGTCGATCCGCCGAAGGCCTCGGCGGCTCACAGCCCTCCTATCAAAAGGCCCAGCCGTGTCCCTTGGTTTTGTTTCGTGTCTTTCTTCTGGCAAGAAGGACCCTTGAAATGAATTCGTAATGCAAAGTTGGTGAAGTTACCCTTGTACTTGCTGACCCAAACACACTGGCAAGGTTGTGGCTCCAAAATCGGGCACACCCCAACGTTCAAGGAAAACATGAAAATATGCGTCCTTGACTTTCTAACAAGTCAGGGAGGTGGGGTGACTTCAAGTGGATTGGGGCTCGAAGCTTATACATTTTGTGCTTGGCCTGTGTGCATGTACTCCGGGATTCCTCGTCCCTTTGGTGCTTCAAACCCGGTTCAACCGTTCCAGGCAAGAAGCGCCTGCCCCAAAGGCACAGCTCGCTAGTTACCTCGCATAATCTGGAGTGTTGATGGCTTGACGCAAACCGACAGTGATGAGGAACGTTTGAGGTCATATCCTTGAGCAGTATTGTTTTGTGGTATGAAAAGATACATTTAAGACATCGCCTGCAGTCGTCCCGCACAGTGGGCCGGTTAGTTACCAGTTTTACCTAGAGTGCCCTGATGAACAGGAATTGTATACTCATGATGAATGAAAGAAGAATCTCCACCCCCTCCTGTGCGGAATAGGTTCCGGCCGGGGAGGGGGTTGGGTTTCGCCGAGCCGCGGATCTCGTGGGGTGGGGCGAGTTTGAGCGGCAGCTCCGAGGCGAGGCGGCGGGGGAAGCAGTTGGCGAGGCGGTTCCCGCGTCCCCGGGCGAAGGGATCCTGGCACAAACTGCGGGTCGAATGGACGTGGCGTGGAATGCCCCCTGTGCGCGGGCAGCAGGTTGGGGGGCGGGGTTTCACGTCCCACCTGAAACACCGCATCATATCAGTTGGAAACGGCCTTTGAACCAGCTTGGCTGAACCTTCCGAAGCGGGGTAATACAGGACACATCCTGAAGCTGGGGGAAGGCAAAACGACGGCTGTCCTTCTCATTGCCGGTTGAAGCATGAAGCATCATGGAGAGTCTACAATCGTGTTGCGTCAGCGTATGAGTTATTCAGGGGGAAATAAACCCACCAATTCTGGCCGCTCATTACCGCAACAGAAGGCTGTCTTAGGTAGTTGTCCTCCTGCTTTTCACTGTTGACAGCATGAGACCCCACAAAGCCCGTCTAGCCCCATCTCAGTTTCCACTTCAGCCGATTTTTTGCTTCGCCTCAGGCACACCGTGGGCAGCGGACTGGGCGGCCGCAGGTCATCGGACCCCAACGCCAGCGGCTGGACCTCAAGGCTCGAGGCTCGAGGCAAGGGATGCGGATCCTTTCTGCGCGGACCCCCAAAGCTTTCCAGCCTTGGGTTTAGGTTGACGCTCAAGCCCTGCAGGGCGCACATTCATGGGTCTAAGGCAAAAAGGTTGCTAGCAGGCAGAGCTCTTTGGAAGTGGGGAGGGTAAAATACATCCAACGATCGGGGCGAGAAGGATGATGATGGAGAACAAGGCATAGCGCAAGGGAGATGACGTCGCCAAAGTCGAGAGTGGTGCTCCTTTTGGTTTTCGATTGGGACCACCAAAACTTGTGGGTCACCCCTCAAACAAAGCACCTACTACTTTCACCAGAAAGAAAAAACTATCCTCCACAAGAACCAGTTCACTCCCGAAACCACAAACCCAGACCACCACATAAGGGACTGAGAGTCAGAGTCCCCTCACAAATGCAAACACGGAACCTGAAAGGGGGCTCCTGTCACATGGTCCAAGCCAGAAGTTCCTAGGAGAAAGTTCACCAAACTATTCCCCCGGCAACGGCCTCTTGGGGTCAACATCCCGCCCCTTTACACCCGTAAGCGGTCTTTCCGTGGGTTCACCGCCCCGGGGCACTACCGCTTCAAAGAGACCAGAAGGCAAACCGTGATGATGGTGCTCCCACTCGCCATGCAAGCAAAGGTTTCCACATCCTTCCCTTGCCGAACGCCTTGTTGGTTTCCCCTGCCTCAAACCCCCGCAAGCATGCAGGCCCTCTGTAGAACCCCGGCTTCGCCAAGGGGCCGAGCTCAGCGACGCCGGGCCCAGCCCGGCGGGCGCCGGCGAGGCCGCGCGCGGGGGTGTGGCCAGGGGTGAGGCCATGGGGGAGGCAAAGGGCGGGGTCTGCTGGCCGCTGGCGGTGGTGCCGTCCGAGGGCGTCTTGCTGACGCCGTCCTACTTGGATGCGCTTCCCATGTTTTTGCGGCCATCAGACACTGTTTCAGGGGAAGACTCTCTCTCAAGTAATAGCCCATGATATTGCTTGGATTGGTTGGTGGCAATGTGTTCCCAAACCAGGTTTGGCGTGGTGCCGATTCCCGGTTAGATTTCCAGGTTTCGGGATCCGGGACATTCCTTGGCCAGAGCGATGGGTGGCCAAGGGGTCAAGATGGCTTCGTGTTTGGACGGGGTGGATTCACTTGCAAGTGCAGCGGGCATGCCGGGCATGCCGCATGCCCTGGCCTTCGGCGCATCAAGGTCCGCCTTGGGGAAGGTGATTCCATTGGCTGTGTCGGGATCAGACGCTGTCTTGCTGACGGAGTCCTGGAAATCCGCCTTGGACGCCGCGCTGTTGGCAGTCGACGCCTGCTTGTCCATGCCCACATCGCTCGATGCGGCCTGGAAGGCGGGTTCTTTCTTGGCAACGGTGCTTTCTTTTTTTGTACCAGGTGTTTGCCGGGTTTTTCCTCGGGCTGGTTTTCCGCAGGGCTGGCAACATCCCCAGCATCACCAGCATCACTTGGACCTGGGGTTGCCTATTGCCAGCCAGCCAGCCAGCCAACCACCCAACCAACCAACCAACCAACCAAGCAGGGGACCAGCCCAGTAAAAAACCCAGCCCTAGGAGAAAACAAAAAACGGATCCTTCTTTCTGCTCAACACCAAAAACAAGTGAAGGACGATGCATTCAGCCTCGTTGTGTTGACTGTTTCCGGGGGATACCAAAGTCAGAGAATGGGGTCGTTTCCAAAAATGAGTTCAGCGAGCCTCATAGAGCCTTGGCCCATGGTGTGATGGTGTGATGTGATGCCCTGTTCCCCAGCGAAAGGTTCAGCTCCGTTGATCCCTGCCTTGCTCACGGCATCTTCCTCCGGCTTCAGCGAATCTGCCTTGGCGGCGTCCCCGGCCTCGTCAGACTCGCCTTTCCCTGTGGTGTCCTCGAGGGTTTGGGGCCAGGCCACATACGCTTTTTGGAACAAACTCCTTTTGGTGTAAACCACTATTGCTTAAACCAACTCCATTTGGACGAAAAACAACTTTTGCTTGAACCAGCTTTGGGCTTCCCATTTGCAGGGACCAGAGATCGGCTGCTTACATGCTGCAACCAGCGTCCTCGAACCGGTCAGGCAGGGAGGGCGCCTCCGCTTTCGCCGGGCTGCCGTCCTTTGCTGTGACGGTGACCTCCGGGGTGTCCTGCGGGTAGGTATCAAAATCGGGATTTGGATCCCCAAACGGCGACGGTCCTTTTGAGTTCCTTCCAAGCCAGTCCGAAATGGATAGCCTCAAAACTCAGAGAGAGAGAGAGAGAGAGGGTTGGAAAGTCAAACAACACTTTGCCGCACTGCGAGGAGCAGCTTCTGGCCGCGCTGGAAGTAGCAAGGTTAAGGTTTCCATTTGTGCTCCACAGGCTGAGCCTATCGAACATCTCGAATACCCCTTGTCCGCAACACAACCCTCGTCACTAGGGCATGCTCCCGCATTTGGATCCTGGGACGCACAAACTATGCTCAAAACACCTTAATTACTGGCGCCAAACAGGGTGAAACAATGACAAGACCATTGGAAGCGGGGTACTCGGCATTGAGCCAGGAATGCCCGTCTCCTCCTCAGAGAGCTCCTTGGCAACCTCCTGGTTCAGGGACTCGTCCGGATTCCACCTCTCCACCTGAAGCAAAATCTGAAGCAACACTCCCAAACCACCCCCAGAAGTTTACCGGGATGCACAGCCACGTGATCACGTGATCACTAGAGGGTATCTGCCCCACTCCCTTGGGGCCCTTGGGGGCAGTGGGTTGGGGGTGGGAGCCATCTTAGACATTCGGACGCGCCCCCTTCAACTTTTCCCTCCAAGTCTTTCTCTAGGATGCCCTGTCACTTCAAAGCGCTCAATCAAAAGGGGCCCTTTGACTTTCCCAGAAACTCAGACTCATTCCTAGAAATTGGCCCAGGGCCGATGGCTGAGCCGAAACAGAGCCGGCTGGTGGGTCAGACTTCCTGAGTGAGTCAAGGGCCACCATCCTTCGAACCCATGTATCAACCGGTATGGGAATCTGGATGAACCATGAAAGCATCAAACATGAAAATCCAATCACTGGATCCTCAATCACGGAGCTCATTTGTCCCGAGACAGCTCGCAAATTAGCCCTGTGTCGATTCAGTGACTACCGCTCGATCCCAACAAGCCAGCCGCACAAATGATCACCTCATATAATGCTCATATACGTTGAAACTTAATGCCTTCCCCATTGCCGCCTTCTGCCCTGTGGGTTCGCCCCACCTTGCTCCCGTGTCCTATTCAGGAAGCCGTGTTCCTGATTTCATCTTTGCTTCTGGGAGGGTATTCCCTAACGCGAAGCTCAATCACAAGCATCCGATCTGTCAGACGGTGGACTCACGTGGCAGAAGCGCAGAAGCACTTCGATTCCTCTGAGTATTTGAGGGCACGTTCATAAAACGCTTGGCTGTGCATTTTCCGCAACCCTTTAGAAGCCATTGGGGTCCTCTTGGCTCAAACCACGTTTCACCCACTACGACAGGGCCCAGGGCGGCCTCTTCATGCTCGCTGGAGCTGTCGCTGTCGGAGTCTTCTCTTTGCAGCTTGCGAACCAGTTTCCCGAACATATCCTGGGCGCGCGAGTCTTGTCTCGGAATGCCAAAGCTCACATGGGCGTGTCTACCCTTTTTGGAGTTGGCGTAATTGAAACCCGTCATTTCGAGTGTGCCCTGATTGGGTACATTCCCACATTTGTGGTTTGAAGCGAATAACGACAACATCAGCAACCTCTGCGGGTGCATTTTCCGCATCCTTCCGTGTGACTAGGTAAAGAAGGGAGGCCTTGGAAGTGTTGTCCCTCTCTCCCCCCCTTTAGTGGGGACAAGGGTCTTGCTGAGGGTCTCGGAAGAATCAACCCTGTGGATTTCTGAGTCAAGGATCCCGCTCTGTGGACACCTCCCTATGAATTAGCTAGGGGTTTGTTGATCAACTGAGCTCCAATTACTCCTCCGCAGGTCACTAGTTAGAAGTGTCAACCACAGCACTTCCTCTCCTCCGTTTCCCTCGCAGGCGGCACCTCAAAATCACCAGGTACATGGCCAAAACGCCTTGAAGCAACAGGTGGCATGGCGTTTTGCGTCTCCTTTCCTGGCCCCGAACCCCCTCTCGCCCCCCCTTCCCCCAACCGCCCCGGAAAAAATAATAATCTCACGGACCCCGTTGGACCCCAGGCGCCGGGACGATGCTGCAGGTGATCCCCGCGTGGGTCACCGTCAGGGCCCCCGCGGGGATGGAGCCGGAGGCGAGCTGTGCCACAGCCTTCCGCTCACAACGGCCAAGGCGATCACCCGGTAGCCGTGGGAGACCAACAAGTAAAAACATATTCAGACCGCTGGCCATGGGTCATAAATATATGCCTCCGTTTTGGGACGGATGAACACCCATGTGGCACCTGTTTTGATGTTCACCAGTTTTACGGGGTTTTGACCCACAGCCCCCTATGTTGAGAAACAACCAGCCACCACTGGGGTCTGTGTCAAGATTTTGGAGTGTGTGAGAGGGAAGGGAGGGAATTGCGACCCCTGGCTCGTTGGGCCTTGCTCGGAGGGAGGAAATCACTCAGGAGGCAAGGCTGCACTTTTGGGGAAGCATGCCCCACCCCAAGCCAATCGCCAAGCTCCAGCAGCCTACGGACAGTCCCCGGGCGGGCATCTGGAGAAGACGGCGCACTCCGTTGCGACCATGTTGAATCCAGGAGAAAAAATGAGCAAACGAGCATTGCAAATTGCGGGCTTGCACCTCTCCTATTGATTCAATGATCTTTTTCTTAAGACAACAGAAGGCTTCTCAACCGGGTGGACCCCTTGTGGCAGGCATATACAAAGTAAACAACCCATTGTTTGTGGTTCCTATTTGTATCTGTTCCCCGTATCCCAAAAAGGGCTCCTTCGAAAAGAGACACGCCAGTTTCGAGAAACACCCTCAAAAATATGGGGCTTTCCTTTTGGCCCGGGCAGAGGAGAAAACACACACAAAACCGTGACGTGCAGGATATCCCAACACTTAGGTCGTCCTCCAGTGCAGTTCGACTCTTTGCACACCTCACGCCTCCCCCTCCCGAAAGTCAAGGATTCAGGGTTTAGGGTTTAGGGTTTAGGGTTAGCCCCTGAGGAGGGGGGAGGATTCTGGAGGGCTTCTTACTAAAGGGTTTAGGGTTTAGGGCTTGGGGGGGCTGGAACCCTAAGTCCAAAAGCCCAAACCCGAAAAGTGACGCAGCTTTTGCACCTCCACCACGGCGCGGTGCCATTGCCCCCCCGCGTCCAAGATCTCGACCTCCTCCCCCTCCTGGCTCGGCTCGAAGGCCGCCAGCGCGGTTGGGATGGTGGAGGGTACCCTGTGGTAGGTTTGAAAAGGGAAATCAGGAAGAAAACCAACATGTTGGGTCCCACTGAAAAAACGACGCCGCATGATCCTGTTGCCGTTTGACTGCATACTCCCCCCTCCCCGCCCCGAAAAAATTAAAAGAAGTGTTGGAGGAGGCAAACCTGGATTTTCGGAATCTTGATCCTTTGGGGGGACCCCCTGTTGGGGTCCATGTTAAGCTGCAGGGGAGTATTTGGCTGTCACGTTGGGGGATTCAAGTTCTTACTCTGCGTTCAGTCCTTGAAGGCCATGTATCACTCTGAAAAATGATACCCTTGGCCAGTCACAAGCAACGGCCAGCCATGACCCAAGTCTTCCTCAGCTTCCCTTGGAAAACTCAGAGAAGCTGCCCGCGGGGTTGTTCCACAATGAAAGGTTTGAGATCGGAAAGCGAACTGGGTAACCTTCAGGTGCATCGAAAAATTAACATGTCTCACAGAAAGTCAGCTCCACAAGGCCTTCAGAAGCTTAGATGGAATTGTGAGGTACAAGACCAAACCTAAGCTATGATCACAGGAGAGGATTTCAGCCTGGAAGCAACCCCCTGCAAACACAATGGCCCTTTGTAGAAAGCGACCCTTTCAAAAGATACCAAGGTAGGCCATTGACAACTTCACTTGAGGACCCCCTTGGCCACAAGTGGCAACCTGAAGCCCCATGTACCACGCCCATGGAGGGGCCGACCTCCCTCTGTCAAAGGGATTTGCTCAAAATGGTGAGATTTGGCCCCCCCTTTTTAGTTGTTGTTTAAAATGAATGAAAGAGTTCCGGGGTTTTAGCAGCCACCCATTTTTGGGGCAAACCACCTTGAAAATGACAAATCAAGGAACCCAACCGTTTTAGGGCACCGATTCCTATTTGTCTCTGTTTTTGAGGGGTGCCCTTTTTGGGGTTGGCTTAAAGGGGAATTGAGACAACTTATAGCCATGGCTTTCGTGGGCTACAACCATGGTTGCTAACCACTTACTAAGTGGGGGGGGGGTTGATCAAAAAAACGATATATGGGATGACCATTGAGAAAACTGCTGAAAAAATGATATTTCCCACTAAATGGGCGAAGTTACTCATGGTCAGTTGGGCCCGACATCTGCCTGGAAGTGCAGGTCTTCTTCCACCGCCGGCGGTGGGCTCTGGGAGCGTCGCACCGCCATGGCGCAGAGCTCCGGGGTGAACCACCTGACAGCTCTCACGGCACCCGAAGCGTCGGAGAAATACATCCGCGCGTCCTCTAAAAGCTACTTAAAGGCCGAAGAGGTCCAAAGAAAGTCAAAGATATCCAACCAGGTACCCAAGCTTTTGGCCAAGGCAAACTTGGGCGGGGCTTGGGACCTTAAAAGGTCGATGGGTTCGGGGACCTGAAATTAGAACCCCGGCATTGCAGAAACAATCATGGATAGATTGGGAGGCCTCCAGAAAGTGCAGGAATCCCTATAAAATGGGGACACCTCCCTCCTATGGACACAATCCGCGCCATTCCGCGCGACAACTGGCGCGAAGCGGATTCGTCCGTCGGCATCACAAAGTCGGAATCTTGGGTCACTGCTCCGCCCTGAACATAGGATTGTGATCTGTGCTATCCTCAAGAAGACGTCGCCCAGTCGGGGAAGGGGCGGGGCGTCTCCAAAAATCCTCATGTCTGGACGTTGCTGAGGGGGCCCATGGAAGAATGACCTGTACCCTTCGGGTCCGCCTGATCAGTTTCAAGGGGTAAAGCCATGCCCTACAGATAGTTGGACCATGCTCGCCGGCTTCAACAAGGCTCCGCTCCATATCTACGAGTCGGGCTAAGACCGGGTGAAGTTTTCGGGCTGAAGCCCTCAGCTTTTCATACCGGACCACACATCAGCCTGGTGGTTTTGAGGCGTGGAGATTGGGCGGTTGCCCAGTTCTACACCAATCCAAACCTTAATTTACGGGGTAACCTGAACACAAGGGCGGAAAGAAAAACGACGCATCTCGTCCAGCGGTTCGGGGAACAGTATGGATTGAAACGGCTGGCGCTCCCGTTCTGAACATTTTGAGAACTTCAGAACACGTTTTGGAGCTGGTTTCTTTGGAGCTATTCCTTGCCAGGCTGTGCGGATGCCACCCAGAGCCGAAGCCACATGGGCTCACCTTTTTCTTTCTTGTTTTTGCTCCTCCTTTTTTTGCGAGGGTCCCCTGTTTTGGACGGTGTAAAAAGGAAACCCACGCGCAAACCACCGTTTTGTCTGGGGGGGGAAGGCCCACCTCTCTGTCGTCTCGCGACTCGGTCCCCCTGCGCCACGCTCGCCGCTCGCGCCTCAGCGTGCCCTTCATGGAGACCAGGATGGAGCCCTTCGCCAGCTCCACGGTGCCCAGGAACAGCGGCTCCCACAGCACCTGGACGAACTTCACACCCGAATTTCTTCCAGAGCGATTCAAGGGATGTTGGTGACACTCATGGAGGTTTCTTCCAGTGTCTCACTCCTCCCGTTTTCCTGTTGGAACTTGTGGCACCAAATAGGGGAAACAGTTGCAGAACTTCTTCCGGTGTAGCATTTCAAGGGATGTGCTCGGGGAACCCCGTTTTTCCCTCCAAACCTGGTTTGTCAACCCTGCCCCTTTTTTCTCAAGCCTTCACCCTTTTTATCTAACCCTCCCCCCGGTCTCTTTTTGACCCCTGCTCCATTCCGTTTTGACCCTCCCCCCTTTCTTTCTATCCCTGGGCCTTTTTCCTTTTAACCCCCCATCTCTTCTTCACAGCGAAATGAGAACGCGGCTAGCTAAGTTGCCTAAACCCTGGTTGATTTTGATGGGGGGGGCTGAAGGAACCTTCACTTTCGGGGAGCCACTCCCCACAAAACAAAAACCATGTTGATTTGTCCAGGGTCGACCATAGGCGCCCCAAGGCGCACTATGCAACCACGTTGCTTTTGGTTGTCTTGCCAGTGTTTATTGCTGCCTGGGTAAGAATACGCGTGTGCTTTCATTGCGGCACCCAAATCCCTAAGTCTTCTTGCAGGAAGCCACTTGTTTTATGTCTCCCACTAGGGTGCTCCCAAGAAATAGCTTCGCTGAGGTTTCCTGGAAAAACCAAACAACAGGCTCCAACATGCTCCAACCCCAAAGCACCCCTGTCAGCTCGGCTTTGCCTGCGTCACCAGGCCGCCGAGCTCCCAATCCGAGTTGTCGTAGCTCCACACGTCTACCACCTTGGTCTCCCTTCTGGTGGAACATCCGATTTTGCAAGGGGGGACAACCAAAGGGAACCACCTGGATATGTCTTTCATTTTGACGGCACATAGCACAAAACCCAGCGGGATGACCCTTCGCGCTGGGAAAGCGAGAGGAAACCAGCCGACACATCCGAAGTTCGGAGGGCCACAGGCAGCCAAAGCAATGAGGATTTGGGGTGGCAAGGGAAAGCCAAAGAAAACCGACATGTCTCCCATGCTATTCGGCCATCGTTTCATCAGCTTCCCTCCAGGTGGTTTGATTTGGTGGTTTTCTATCTCTGTACAAGAACCGGGGGTTCAAACCCCGGCTCCCACCAATCCAAGCCACCAGACCCCCCAAACTGCGACATCTGGACCTGAGACTTCCAAGGCTCCACAGCCCTTCCCAGCCAAAGGCCTCCCTCGAGCCGAAGACCGAACACCGAAACTGCCGCGCCGCATCCCCGGGGCTGTAGATCGCCGAATCCTGGCGCGAGCGCTGCCGAGGGCTCGGCTCTCGGTTGCTTGGACCCAGTTGTCATGTTGACCTCGCAGGAATGAAAAAAAGGCGGATAAATCGGATAAATATGGAGAGGTGGTTCACCAAGATTGACGGAGCCCAGCGGATAAAAATGAGATGACCTTCCAGAAGGGCCATGTGAATCAAGGCGTTCAGAAATTGGGAACTGCACACTCGAGGGGTGCATCCTTCCTCACCTGCAACTCTGGGTGAATTTTGTCCGCGGCTTGTTGGACACAGACTAATCTCCTGGCCGGATCACGGAGGTTACGTGGCACACAGGGCCCAAACCTTAAGGACCCAAAGCCCCCCCAAGCAACCCCCCCCCAAAAAATAGTAAAAGGAGAATTCAAAGAATTATTCTTTCTACTATTTTTTTCCAACAGCAACACAACAAACAGAAAACAAAATCCAGAACAACAAGCAAACAAAATAAATAATCACAACCAGCAACAAAAATATTTAATCACAGCATGCAACATTAAATAATTCAAACAAGCATGCCAACAAAACAGCAACACTCTAAATCATCAAAGAACCCAAACTCAAAAACACACATCAACAAAAATCAAAGCAACATACCAACAAAAAATATCACAAGAGTATCAAACAAAACAAAAACAAACAGCCAAAGCACGAAAAAATTGAAGAAGCATGCCAAGTCTAAACAACGCACTTTGAAAGAGATAAGCAAATTATAATAATTCAATCTTTACAAACGATAAATATATTACAATTATAACATATAATATTTTACATGTGATAATCATAGTATGATTAAACCTGTTTTTAGTGTTTCCAGTCTCCTATGTTGTTCCAAGAACTGCTCAAAATGTTTCTGATATTATACCAGATTAAGTTAACGTCATAATCTTTCATTGGTGCTCTTTGTTGTATTAAATAACGCAACACTGATACCAAAGTATAATAATTACAATGCATTGTTGTCATTCCTCCTCTTTCATTAATACTATTACCATTACGTTTAACGAGTTCTTCTTTCATTATGTTTTCGTAAATCTCTTTTATCCATTGATGATTTTGTTCTCCATACTCAGCGAACATATCTGGATATATATCTTTCATTGTTTTATCGTTTTTAATTATTTCAATGACTTGTTTATACGATGGATAGGGATTATCCTTAATGAAACTCAATATTATCTTTCTATCCTGTTCCAGCTCTTTTTCTGTCACTCCTAGCATTGGCATTTTCCTCTTATTATATTAAGTATTTATTCCTTTAAGTCATTTTACATTATAATTATAACATATAAGGGTATAAATGTTATAATCATAGTATGGTGATAATTTAAGTTTGGGATAATAATTTAATTGATGATGAGTTGGGGCGTAGGCGTGATGGGACCAATCCCACAAACTTGGGACCCGAATCCCCGAAAGTTGGGACTCCAATCCCACAAACTTGGGACTCGAATCCCCGAAAGTTGGGACTCCAATCCCCTAAACTTGGGACCCGAATCCCCGAAAGTTGGGATTCCAATCCCCTAAACTTGGGACCCGAATCCCCGAATCCCACGAATTTGGGACTCGAATCCCCAATCCCACGCATTTGGGACTCGAATCCCCTATTTTTGGGACTGGTGTCTTGTTTCTTTAATCCGTCAAACTCACTAAGATTTCACAAATTAATTCGCTAGGTATTTTATATAAATCTTCCTGTTTATGAAATACTGGATTGTCTCCCCATTCTGCTTTGGTTTTTGATGGTAGCCGTTGTGCTGTTTCAATATGTTTATTATTCCTGATGTTGCCACAATCCTTTTTACATAATTCTCTAGGTTTCCAAGTTGTAATGTTATTCCATAGCCTAGTCCTCTTTCTATAATTAAATCCATATTTACAATAATCAACATCTTTAAAATCAAACTCATCCATAAACTCCTGATGTTTTAATAATCCAGTTTGTGGATTTTCGATTACAAAATATTTAGGATTGAAATATTTGATAATCTCAATAGTTTTTAAGACAATACTATTTGCATATTCGATATTCCTAATTCCCCTAGTTTTTGCTATGCTGTATTCAGTGCATGGGGGACTACTCCAAATAAAATCAAAATGGTTTCTGTCAAACTGTTTGTAATCCCACTCCAAAATATCAGTGTTGATATCAGCATTTTTCAAGTCTAATGATATTACATTAAATCCAAGCGACTTTGCTATGGTTCCGACGCTTTTTGTTCCGCTAAATAATTCTAATAAATTCATTTATTAGAATTATTTAGATTATTAATTATTCAAATAATACATATACTCCATCATCATTTTTTGAAATTTTATAATAGTCTAATGTTTGTTGCTTTGGTTGCTTGATTTTTCCTGTATTCAACATATCACAGTATTTCTTTTGCTTTGTAGGGTAGTCGCCCGATGGTCTTCCTATAGATTTTGCTTGAAATATCTTTTCGATTTTTTCTTTATCTTCATTGCGTTCAACTGGTTTCATTTTGTCATCAATGGATTTAATCATATCATTTAAGGTTTTGATATTTTTACCAATTAATGTTATCTTCTTCATTAAATCATTAATAGTATAATTCTCATTTTCAGACATTACTATATATTTATTTAGATAATTATTTATTTAATTATACGTTTTATTATATAATTTACCTGAATAATTTAATGTTATATATGTAAATAAATTATATTCTAAGAGTCTTTCATCAATTTTATTTTTCAATTTTATTAAACCTTCATCGTTACCTGTAATTTCAAAAAACTTCAACATTTTATCAAATTTATCCGGTTTAGTTATACCTTTCATAAAATATTTATTATTAAATTTAGCATCTAACCAATAAAAATATTCTATACTCAATTGTCTAGCAAAGTTTTTATCACCATCGAATATATCATTAATTTCTTCATCATCAAAAGTTATAATTCTATGGTCTTGTCCATTCATAGTTGGCATTATGATTATATAAATAATTAGATATTTATTTAAATATTTATTTATTTATATTTATAAAGTGCAATTATGTTAAATCTACTCTTTAAATACTAATTTTTCATGATTTGTTTAACAGTTTCCTGAGTTTCGTTTTCATTATTATCGGTTGGTGTTGCTTGCCTACCAAATTTAAAAGTTATACTATGGACATCAGTTTCTAAGTTGATACTGTCTTTAGTTTTATCAATACTCATTTTCTTATCATTTTTACTTATTTTGAAACTTGTTGGAATACATGAACATTTACATGTTTTATTATTTTTTATTTCTAATTCATTTTTAAGTTCTAACATCTTTTTGCACATAGGACAAGCAATCTCAAATACTGATGTTTCTTTAACAATTTCTCCGCTATCTTCTGTTGAAGAAACACTTAAACCTGTCTTATTCTTTTTGTTTTTCTTTTTTGGCATTTATATTAATATTTATATTTTTAATATATTGTATCAAAAACTTAATTAATTCTAAAATAAAATAACATATTTTTTTACATCTATTATCAGTTATTAGTACTTGTTCTATATTCTCCATTTCATCTATTATATTAATATAATCTGAATAACTCCTTTTCATATTAAATAATAAGATAAATTATTTTTAATTTCTGTCTTTCTTTTCTTGTAAAGTTTTTTCATTGTATCGTCCTTATTCCATCTATATCCCACAAATTTCTGATGATGTTTTGAATTTAGATGTTTAAATAAATATTTGTCATCATAAGTTTTACAACAATTGCAATGGATAACAGTCATATAATAATAAGATAAAATAATTATTTAAATTATTTAATCTTATTATTTTCATGCATGATAGAATATTCGGAGGGCACAGCACTTGGGGTTTTCATTGCACGCGAGAGAGATACAAACTAATTAGCTTCAATGCTTACTGATTGAAGCAATGGAAACCTGTTCCATTATGTTATTCACCGCCACTCATAACATAATGATGTTCCATTAATATTAAATAGAATATTTATTTAAATTATTTTCTTTAGCTTTAGTAAGTTTTAGTGCAGTTAGCATATCAACATCTAGAATATTATTATTAATAACTTCTTGTACACTATTTATCATTTCATCTGTATATATATTAGAATAATCTTTCATAAAATTTACTAACTTTCTAAAATTAAAATCTAGGTTATTGTCATTTTCAATTGCGGACTTGGATACTACGATATTATAATTTTTAATTCCAGATAAAAAGTATAACATCGTATCATAATATATTTGTACAGTATCTGGAACTAAGACATCACCAAATTTATATATCCTCCGAATACTAGCCACTTCACTTAAATTAATAGATTCTATAGCCATTATGATATAATTATATTATATATTTTTTTATTTATAAGTATTTATAATATTATTTTTATTATGCCTGATGTAAAACCAATTGATGAAATCAAATATGACTTTAAGCAAAGTAAGCATGAGGTCGTCCCTAAATTGCCAATGAGAGCTATGATTGTCGGTCCATCTGGAAGTGGAAAATCAACTTTACTTGTATCAATGATACTTGATATTTATAGAGGAGCATTTGAAAGAATTTTTATCTGGTCTCCATCTGTAAATTTAGATAGTATTTGGTTGCCTGTTAAAAAATACATTAAAGAAGGTTTGAAAGTAGATAATGATAAAGAACCGTGTTGGTGGGATGAGTTCAATGTTGAAGATTTAGAAAGAGTTATAGAAACTCAAAATAAAATAATTGAATACCAGAAAAAACAAGGAACGAAGAAATTATTTAATATTTTGGTAATTTTGGATGATGTATCTGATAATCCAGCAATAACAAGAAATAACAAATTGTTAAATTCTTTATTTTGTAGAGGTCGTCATAGTGGAATATCAACACTTGTAAGTCTTCAAAAATCATCAACCGTACCACCAATTATTAGGGTAAATATAAGTCATTTGTTTTATTATAAAGTTAGAAATTTTAAAGAGATAGAAATATTGCAAGATGAATTATCAGCAAT